GTAGGCGTCGGACAATTCATAAAATAATACTTTTTAAAAATGAAACGGTTTAGCCGCAAACTTCCGTGCCGTATAGCGTGAATAACCCTGTATAGATAGACAGGACCTACCTGGGGGACATGCTAGACAGGCCCGGACTAGGCAAAGAACCAGCCGCCCTTGGCCCACCCGGTGTTGTTCTTTGCTTGTTGTGCTTCCTCCTCCTCGGCCGGTACTTGTAATTGGGGTGTTCCGTCATGTGAATCACCCGAAGACGTTCAGCCTCCTCCACAAACGGGCGGCGATCCTGCGGGGTGAGCGAGCGCCACTTTTTTCCTGCAAGCATCGAAATGTTACCCCGTCAAGGCGGCTCTAGTTCAAGTACACGAAAGTCATGCGGCTCAGGGATGGGCCGTTCGTATGAATAATTCATTAATAAGCCGAGACGTCGAATATGACGAGGGCGCGGCCTGCCAGAGATCATCGGCGCGCAAAAAGTCACCCAAGTCAAAATCCGGAAATCGGGCTGGCCGCCTCGCGATTTCCAATCCCCAACGGTCCAAAAAACGCGTAATATCTATATTACTAGTCCAATGTATGATTAGTTATAATGGCCTGTTCAGTTTATCATAATCGGACGGGCCGCAAACTGGTTTTTTAAAGACCACTGGCCAGAGTCTGGTATTAATAACTACACGGGCATGGTATATGGGTTTCGACCAGGCTCGGCTTCGAGCAATTGTGCAGGAATCTCAGTGATTTTGTATGATCTGATCATTAAAAATCACTGTTTGAACTCTTACGGCCCCCCTTCAATCAAACTGGTACTTGAAATTTCCCGAACCTGTTGGTAAAGTGATGGCGAAATTTTAATAAAAATTGTGCCATTCAGAGGAGTTATTTAGGCTACAAACTTGTCAATTGCAGCGTTTCCGGTCATTCTGTCAAACGTCATTAATACTGGCATGAACCTGTCAAAAAAACGGTGTCTTTTCCGGTCCGGTTCTGTTGATTATCGTTTTCGAGACAGATAGCCATGAAACCGTGGCACATATTTTCGAGTCGGCCGTGGATGATTAATTGTTTTAAAGGGGGCGTGATTGGTGATTGACAGCGCGATTGCAGCGCCGCGGGTGGCCGTCACAACGAATAACTCGAATGTTTTACATTTTTCAAATGTGAAAACCAGCTGAAGATCTTTGGGAAAGTGATCCAATAGTCCAATCCAATCCAAGTCAATCAAGTATTGTAAAGTTTTTAGACCGTCGTCAAACAGATTTTCTTCTTGAGGTTTCGCGATCACAAAAGCTCGGAACATTTAACAGTTTTTAACGAATCCGTTGTGCCGAGCCCTTCGGGCACGGCACTGATTGAACAACAAAACTGAACAATTTCAGAGTTTAGTGTTTTTTTAGGCCCAATCAGTGTCGTGCGTGAGGTTCTGAGCGTACCAAACGCATTGAAACCTGGGGAATTCGAAAATCGATTTGAAGATGGCCCGAAAAACTCAATAGTTTGAAGGAATCGCTCCGCAAGCTTGAAAATTTCGGATAATTTGCTAAAAGGTGAATCAGAAATTTGGCAACCACGTATTTGATGTTTTCCTCAACACGACCACAATAGTTGCAAAGTTATACGTAAATCTTCCAATGCAACAAGAGAAAAGCTCCAAATTCGTCGCTTTAATTAGTTCAACTTTAATTTTCTTAAAAAAATCAGTCTCGACTTTGCGATTCCGCGCATTTCTATGCAGAAGAGTTGAGCGATTCGGCGTCTTCCCAAGGAAAATAGACTTATGCTTGTTGGTCGTTAAATTTTGAAGAACACACCTTAAAAACTAACCACAAACACGCTGACATGTTTGTCACAACAACTGTCTGTCTGGATGTATGGTTGCCGCTGTGCTTGTGTTCAATCAAACATTCTAATGAATGTGATTTTCCAACTAGCACATTTGCGTAACCTGCCTTTAGTCAATGGTATTTGCAACTTGAAGCTTAACGGGAAGAAGGATTCTATTTGTTTCCACTTGTACATGCTGAGGAGAGTTGACGCACTTGTTGCTTGCCACATGCTGTTTCGATTTCTGCATGGTTCAGGGCCCTTTTACGGCCACATTGGGTTCTCTTATGGGTTCCGCGATTCCATGTACCCTGTCTTTGGTGGTTCGTGCGACAGGCACGCACTATGCGACGCAAACAGTCGTTAACTGGCCGATAAATTATCCTCATTGGACTTGGTTGATTGCACGTTTGAAGGGTTCTCGGGAAAAAACGGCCGGAATGTCGACGAGCGCGCGTTCGTCGCGGTTTCGGCAAAGAAAAAAAGGTTTTGTCATGACAAACACGCGCAAAGAATGCT